GTCTTTTTTTGTTTCTTAAACAGTGCAAACAGAGAAGCTGTTGTAGCTTGTTAGCAGTGTTACACCATCACTTTGATTTATTTATGTAATCGCTCCAAAATGTGAAGATAAAACCAGCACAAACAGATCTTCAGAAGCATGCATACTGCAGATATAAAATGTTGGCGTTCATCAACAAGGTTTTGGCCAAATCACCAGGACTGTGATAGAAATGTTTTACCTCTTTAAGTGTTAATTTTGCCATCATATAACAGGGTCATTGCAGAGTCGTGCAGACGGAAGAAGGAAACCCAGAAAATGTGTGAAATTACCAGCATTTTAAGAAACCAGACACTAAGATTCACAGCTTCTTTTAAAGCAAAGGTGACATTCAAAGCTTTTTAAACCCTTAAGCCCCTTTGATTTAAAAAAAACAAAAAACTTTTGTTAGCAGTCGTCCACAGCAGTGACGCATAGAGATGTAGAGATGATGATAATGCAGCCTTCAGCTCACCGGAGTTTTCTGTAATTGCCGTGTCCGTCAGTGCCGGTTTGTCAGTTTCCCCCAGTTCAGTCACTGACGTTGGGAGGGGCTCCACCACCTCTGTGAAGTTCAAGGGGAATTTACCAATTCGGCCGTGGATTTGGCCCCGCCCCCATTCCTGCCCGATGAGTTCCAGGAGAGCAATGACATCACCCTGGGAAAAGGTGAGCTCGTCTTCTTCCTCTCCCTCGTGGTCCAACAGAGCGACGCACCGAGGGCCGCTGCAGAAAAACCAGCTGATTAGAACATGTGGCTCATAGAGAGTGAGAGTGTGTGTGTGTCTGTGTGTGCGTGTGTGTCTGTGTGTGCGTGTGTGTCTGTGTGTGCGTGTGTGTCTGTGTGTGTATGTGTGTGTGGGTGTGTGTCTGACCTGACAGGAGGAGAGTCTGGTTGCTCCTTCAGCTCAGCAGGCTGCACCGGAAGAATCGACTAAAGGATAAACAAAACATAACGTCATTAATATTTATGCATTTAAAAACAGTTTAAAACCTGTGCAGTGAGTCAAAATAAAAAATCAATAACAAAATTAATTAAAATAATATTCAATTAAATGCACCAAATATAAAAAGGTATGATGACAATGCAAATGCAAATTATTCATTGAACAAATGTTATTTTGGTACTGTTCCAGTTTCCTATAATTTATGATTTTTCGCAGTTTGGGCCTCTGTAGTCCAGAGCTACAAACCTGTCTGATCTGAACCAACCCACCACTCCTGACAGGTGACCTCTGATGCTTTTTCAGAAATGATTTGAATAACCAACTAAAAAAAATCTGAAGCTGTACCTCTGAGCCTGACAGGCTGTGGTCCTCCAGGGCAGGTTTCGATTGGTTGTCCTGATCAGGGACGGACTCTGGCTTGGGGTCCAGGTCGAGCAGACACTGTGATGTGTTGATTAGGGGGGTGGTGGTGGTATTCTGATTCTGCCTCTCGCCTGGAGGATGCTCCAAAGGCGAGGGACTCGGGTCATCCAGGACTATCAGCACTTCCTGCTTCTGAGAGATAAAGTGGAATTAGAAACGTAATCAGAACTTGTATCTTTGTGTGTGCGTGCACGTGCAGGTTTACCACGTAGCTGTTGTACAGAGGGTGTCCAGGTTTAGGGCGTGGAGGCAGAGGTGG